GTTTCTAGAACTTTATCAGTGGAGAAACAGAAAAAAAACAAGATTTTATTGTGTGTATTTTGTAGAGAATAAATAAATAATACAACAAAACAGCCAGTAGGTGGCGGTAAGTTACTCAGGATCATTCATTCAAATGATTCATTCAAAACAGATGATTCATTTTTAAACAATCTATGAATACATGATTGAATCATTGACTCTAATGAATCATTTAGAAACAGAGTGAGTAGTGTAGGAAAGAAACAGAGTTGCTATGAGATGCGTAAATGTTTTACTATAGTGTTTCTGAAATTATTTTCAGTGGAGAAACAGAAAAAAAAAAGGTTAATATTTTACTGTGTGTATCTTTGTTCTAGTTTAGGTCTGTCGTGGATAAATAAATATGATAATAAAACTGCCAGTATGTGGCGACAAGAGATTCATGATCATTCATTCAAATGATTCAATCAATACAGCTGATTCTTTATTAGAAATTTGGGAATGGATCTTTGAATCATAGACTCAAATGATTCGTTTAGAAGCAGATTCATTTAGGAAGGAAACAGAGTTACTGTGAGATGTGTAAATGTTTTACTTTGCCTTTTCTGGAACTATTTTCAGTGGAGAAACAGAAAAAAAAGATTATATTATTTTACTGTGTTTGTTTTGTTGAAAATAAATAAATAATACAATAAAACAGCCAGTTGGTGGCGGTAAGTGATTCAGGATCATTCATTCAAATGATTCATTCATAATAGCTGATTCGTTTTGAAAAATCTATTAATAGATCACTGAATCATTGACTACTGATTCATTTAGGAAGGTAGCAGAGTTATTATGAGATTAATAAATGTTTTACTATGGCATTTCTAAAACTACTTTTAGTGGAGAAAAACAAAACAAAACAAAGCAAGGATGCTGTCTCTAAACTGTCAAATTTGTCTAGGCTGTAGATTAAAGGTAATAGTGTTGTAAATAAAGTTTATCTTCTTGCACTGATTAACCGTTTCACATCATAAGATCTCAAAATCAGGTATTCATTTAGTTTTGCCTGTACAGTATGTGCTTTTTTAACTCTCAAAGTGCCGGTACACATTTATTACTCAGCCAGGACTAAAGTTTCAGCTAAACATCTACTTTTATACAGGGGGAAAGTAAGATGTATCTAGGATGCCATGAGTTTGAGCAAATAAGCTTTTAAATATGGGGTGAACTGTCCCTTTAAATGAATAAAAATGCAGCTGTATTGCTTTAATAATGATGGCAACACTTTAATTAAAGCACTAATTTTCACTGATAACCAATGGCTGCAGGAAAAGTCTCACTACTGTATGTTTATATGAAGTGATTTATTTTATTTGTGATTTTTGGGTTTGTTTTAAATTTCAATTTAGATTTGACATATTAGAAAGTAATCGCCTAATAAAAGGACAGCTTCAATTCAATTCCTTTGTGTGAAGATCGAATTGTGGAAACATGATTTAAATTGAATCGTGACTTGAGTGATTCGTTACATCACTACTAATGTACCTGTACAAAAATGAAGTATACTGTGGGCTTTGAGGGTTAAAGTAATGCTTTAATATAATAAATCACATTCTTTGGTCCGCTTATAGCAACTTTTAGTTTAAAAAAAACATTTATTAGCCCTTCATGTCAAATTCAAATTATTTTTCAAATATTTTGAGCATATTATTAAACAATAGCTTTAATAACTCATTTCTAAAAACTCATTTCTTTCGTCTTTGTTATGATGACAGCACATAATATTTACTAGCTGTTTTTCAACGTACTAGTGTTCAGCTTAAAGTGACATTTAAAGTAGGTTAACTTAATTAGGGATGTCGTGCGACAACAGTTGTTTGTTGTAGCCAATCGAGAGAGAAAAAAAATGTGTCTAATAATGTATTATTTTATTCCAGCAAAACTAAAAGATATAATAAAATATAGTGCCGAAAGAAAGATTAATCACATTCAAAATAAAAGTTTGTTTTGACGTAATATAAGTGTGTATTATATATTTATTATGTATAAGTGATTCACGGAAACAAAACTATACAAAACGATTTTTTATAGATATTAAAATTTTTGGTCCCACTTTATATTGTGGCCTTAACTAATATGTACTTACACAGTAATTAATAGTTTGTTACAATGTACTTATTGTGTAAATGCATGTATTTATTGTGTACTACTGCTTGATTAAATACCTGCATGTAATTACATCTGTAATTTACTTTTGTAGCTCAATTGTAAATACACTGTTGACCATCCCTTACACCTTAACCTACCCTTAAACCTACCCATACCACCAAACCTGTCCATAACCCAACCTCTATCCCAATTCAAGAGCGCCACAAGTGTTCTCAAATACATTATAAACACAGTAAGTACATTGTATTTATTTTTGATGCAAGTACATAGTAGTTAAGGACACCTAATATAAAGTGGGACCAAATTTTCTATAAATTGTATCATAAACATGTATATTTTATATCTCCATATAAATAAAACAAATCAAGAATATGCATGCCTGTGTTATATATATGAACAGTTCAGATTCAGAAATGGCATCTAAAATTTCCATCAAAAATGAGCATTATTCTCAGCCTCAATTGTTTATGTTGAGTTATTTCACTTTGAAAACCATGTTATTAATAACCAATAACATATATATATATATATATATATATATATATATATATATATATATATATATATATATATATATTAGGGCTGTAACGATACACGATATAAAATCGAAATCGCGACACTCAGATCTACGATCCTGTGTCGCGGTGTGATAAGGGAGAATCGCGACACACCCCGTGACTACCTTTCCAATAACGTCACGCGTGCCTGCAAAAGTTGAGCTAGTTGAAGAAGAACGTGAGGAAACACTTTTCTTCCGCTCGACATAACGAGCAATGCTCCGTTTAAGCCCTTGCAATAAGCGTTTAACCGGGAGAACTCGCACGGAGCTCTTAGTAAGGGATCGTCTGAATGTGTCAGGAATATCAAAAACAAAACCAACTTAACCCCTCTTGACAACAGACAACGGCAGAAACATTGCCAGTGCTGTCAAAGCATTGTTGTTAATGTGGCTGCGCAGAGAGGCATGGGCGTTCACCAGATGCCCCGACTCCTCTGCAGAGGAAACTTTTCTGTAACCGTGCGGTGAGTTTTGTTTAACCCTTTGGGAGTTAACGTTACGTGCTGATTGACAGGTTCGCGATGAATGAGGCCAGGAAACAGGACGAAGCTTTCAGTTAAGATGAACACAGTTTCTATAGTTATACTTTATTTGTAGATAAAGGTATATGACTGTATATAATCACTCTATCTTGCTGGAGTTTATAGCCGTTTCGCTTTACTTCAGGACGCATAATGCCGCTCTGAAGGTAATCGCTTAAGTTATCCAGAGCTGTATGAATGTACAAATCTTGAATATCATAATATTATTAAATCTTACAATTGTAACAACACAGACAGCAACACTTTTGCACAATCGATACCCAGCTGATTCAGTCGTTTCATAAGAGGACCGCGCTTCTTCTCTTCTTTTTTCCTTGTCAACATAAAGGCAGGGAGATGCGCCTTGTTTTCGGCTTATAAAGCATGTATGCACATTAATGCAATATCATATTTAAACAACAAAACTGTTTACAAAAAGTCTACATATGCGCGCGTGTTGTTGTTTCATCACGCAGCGCGCGCACTTGAACCGGAGGGAGAGAGAGGAAACCATCAGGACTTATTCTTTAAAATAATGAATTAAAATGTAAAAGGTTTTGTTATTATAATAATAACAGCGGGGCATTAAGTAAATGCATATTTTCCGTGGAGCGGGCAATTTGAGGAAGTCTGCGATTTTTATTTGACGGAAGAAAAAACATGATTGGAAAAAAACATCCTATGCCAGTTGTTAAAAAGAATCAGTCAGTATTTTCGTTTTGTAATATAAATTAATTATTTAAATGAAAATTATTTAGGGCAGTCCTATTTATTTTATTCATTTTATTTAGATTATTCTGCTCTTCTGTGCTAAACACTGCAGGTGCGTGAAGATGCTCTGTTGTTCTGTTCTGTTATTAATATGCTAGCATTTAAAAATAAATCAGTAGCTTATTTTCAAATGCAATATTTAATGTGTCAGACACAAAATAGACAGGTCAATTTGTTTAATATAAAATTAATAGTAATCTGACCAGTTAACCGTTATTATAATAACCGATTAATGAGCGGCGGTTGTCTGTTAGCGAAATTAACCGAAATGAGCATCCCTAGTAGCCATTTAATTTACTTTTTCTATGTAAGACAACTTGATTGAAAAATAATTTTTAACATACTTGAACCATCTACACAATGGAGTTTAGTTCTGTTTGGTTTTTCAAAAGTATTTTGTTACAAAGAAAACAAAAATGATATAATTTTATTTAATAAAAAATAGTTTTAAAAATCTTTTTTCCCCACCCCACACGAAAAAAAAATCGTGATACGAATCGAATCGTGGGTCAAAAATCGTGATACGAATCGAATCGTGGGTTTGGTGTATCGTTACAGCCCTAATATATATATATATATATATATATATATATATATATATATATCACCCGAGTGTATATATATAAAAATATATATATGTGTGTGTGTGTGTATACATTACACACACTTAAATTATGACTTTTATTTTGGATGTGATTAATGCAGAGCATTAATATAATATGATAATAAAGTGAAAAATGCCTTTGCTCTGCTAAATAACACTTTTGAAAATATATGAAAGCATGATTAAAATTTCACATTTGCTCTTCAACTGTACATCATGATCTGCTTGGTTTGTGTTTAATCCTGGAGTTTACAGTCAGATGCTGTCAATCTGAAGTCAGCACAGCGTTCAGGGTCACCCTGTATGTACAGTTTCTCCAACCATGTGATGCCGTCAGGAGTGTGGGTATGTGTGTATGTGTGTGTGTGTGTGTGTGTGTGCATGTGTGTGTGTGTGTGTGTGTGTGTGTGTGTGTGTGTGCGTTTATGCCAGAATCAGGCTGTTCCACACTTCACTCTTGGTGCTGGAGGATCCGCTTGGAGAGCCCATATATGCTGGAAACGCAGATACCTGCATAAACGAAGCAAAGACTGCGTGCATTAATGTCTGTTTAAGATGAATCGCTTGTTGAGCAGACTTATACATTACAGTTACTTTGAATAAACTCAGTTAGTAAATGACTAATATTATGAATAAGAAGAACATCTCTTTGTTCACGTTGTCATTATGGGGGATTGTGTGTAGAATGTTGAAGAAATCAATATAATCCATTTTGGAGTAAGACTGTAACATAAACAAATGTGGAAAAAGTGAAGCGCTGTCAATACTTTCCAGACACACCGTATACTGTATGTTGTGGTTGAGGTGTGTGTAGAGTGGTCAGCAGTGTGTGTTGTCTGACCTGTGTGTGTATGTTGTGGTGTGTGTAGAGCGGTGTTGTGTCTGGTTCAGTCTTGATGGGTCGCGTCTCTTCTGTTGGACTGGAGTTCACAGCGCTGATCGCCGACTGACCTTCAGAGGAGCCTTCAAAACACACACAGGTGAAAGGTCAGAGGTCACCATCACTTTTAGCCATTCATTCATTCAATTTCCTTCAGCTTAGAGTCTGATTTATCAGGGGTCGCATCGCATCAGCGGAATGAACCGCCAACTATTCTAGCATTTGTATTAAGCAGCAGATGCCCTTCCAGCTGCAACCCAGTACTGGGAAACACCCATTCACACACACACAAACACACACACTACTACGTCCAACTTAGTTAATCAAATCCCCTATAGCACATGTGTTTGGACTGTGGGGGAAGCCGGAGCACACGGAGGAAACCCACACCAACACAGGGAGAACATGCAAACTCCACACAGAAAGCTTTGGACAAATTCTCAACAGATATAAAAAGCTAATTCAAAATCAATTGAAAAGGTTTTGACGTTCAGTTTACAATAAACAGTTGGGGATATCTGACAGCAGACAGGACACTCACCGGGTTTGGTTTTGCTGATGTTTTTGGGTTTGCGCTTTCGTGTCTGAATGCCCTCTTTCTTCATGGCGAGAGGACGAGGAACCTGAGCAGAAGAACAGCAGAACAAACACTCAGAGCTGTGGTTTTACTGGTTCTCTATCTCCATCTGCTGGACACATGTAGTACTGCAGATAAAGAGATTTCTGACCCCGTGGAGCTTCATGTAGAGTCCACAGGCGTTGCAGACTGGCTCTCCTTCTGCATTGCGTCTCCAAAGAGTTGTTGTGGTAGTCTGACAGTTTGTGCAGGATAAACCCACCCGCCTGGACGCAGACTGAGAGAAAAAGGGGGAGAGAGCAGTGAGGAAGAGATGGAATATAGAGTGTAAACAGTGCAAATAAGCATGCAAAATAACATAAAGCATGGCAAATAACAGAAAGCACTACAATACGCATGCAAAATAACAATAAACATTACAGTAAGTGTGCAAAATAACAATACAAAATATGCAAAAATAATAATATTGTGCAATAAGCATTAAAAATAACAATAAACACTGCAATCAGTGCAGAAAATAACAATAAACAAAGGAATAGGCATGCAAAATACCAATAAACACTGCAAAAATTGTGCAAAATAACAATAATAAATGTGCATAAATAATCACTGCAAAAAATAATCACTGCAATAATCGTGCAAACTAGCCATAAACACTTTAATAAGCATAAAAAATAACATTGAACACTGCAATAATCATGCAAACTAGCAATTAACACTTCATTGACTGTGCTAAATAACAATAACCTTTGCAATAATCATGCAAAATAACAATAAATACTGTAATAAGTATGAAAACTAACAATAAACACTGCAATAAGCATGCAAAAATAAAAATAAACAATGCAATTAGTGTGCAAAATAACAATAAACACTGGAATAATCATGCAAAATAACAGTAAACACTTCAATAAGCGTGCAAAATAACAATAAACACTGCAATGAGTGAGTTAAATAACAATAATAAATGTGCAAAAACAATAATATTTTACAATAAGCATCCACAAAAACAATAAACACTGGAATAACAATGCAAACTAACAATAAACACTGCAATAAGCATGCAAAAATAAAAATAAACAATGCAATTAGTGTGCAAAATAACAATAAACACTGGAATAATCATGCAAAATAACAGTAAACACTTCAATAAGCATGCAAAATAACAATAAACACTGCAATGAGCGAGTTAAATAACAATAATAAATTTGCAAAAACAATAATATTTTACAATAAGCATGCACAACAACAATAAACACTGGAATAATAGTGCAAACTAACAATAAACACTGCAATAAGCATGCAAAAATAAAAATAAACAATGCAATTAGTGTGCAAAATAACAATAAACACTGGAATAATCATGCAAAATAACTGTAAACACTTCAATAAGCATGGAAAATAACATTGAACACTACAATAAGCAAGTAAAATAACAATAATAAATGTGCAAAAACAATAATATTTTACAATTGGCATGCACAACAACAATAAACACTGAAATAATAATGCAGACTAACAATAAACACTTCAATAAGCGTGCAAAATAACAATAAACACTGCAATGAGAGAGTTAAATAATAATAAATTTGCAAAAACAATAATATTTTACAATAAGCATGCACAACAACAATAAACACTGGAATAATAGTGCAAAATAAAAATAAACAATGCAATTAGTGTGCAAAATAACAATAAACACTGGAATAATCATGCAAAATAACAGTAAACACTTTTATAAGCTTGCAAAATAACATTGAACACTACAATAAGCAAGTAAAATAACAATAATAAATGTGCAAAAACAATAATATTCTACAATAGGCATGCACAACAACAATAAACACTGGAATAACAATGCAAACTAACAATAAACACTTCAATAGGCGTGCAAAATAACATTAAACACTGCAATAAGCATGCAAAATAACATTAAACACTGCAATAAGCACGTAAAATAACATTAAACGCTGCAATAAGCATGCAAAATAACATTAAACACTGCAATAAGCACGTAAAATAAAATTAAACACTGCAATAAGCATGCAAAATAACAGTAAACACTGCAATAAGCACGTAAAATAAATTAAACACTGCAATAAGCATGCAAAATAACATTAAACACTGCAATAAGCACGTAAAATAACATTAAACGCTGCAATAAGCATGCAAAATAACATTAAACACTGCAATAAGCACGTAAAATAAAATTAAACGCTGCAATAAGCATGCAAAATAACAGTAAACACTGCAATAAGCACGTAAAATAAATTAAACACTGCAATAAGCATGCAAAATAACATTAAACACTGCAATAAGCACGTAAAATAACATTAAACGCTGCAATAAGCATGCAAAATAACAGTAAATACTGCAATAAGCGTGTAAATTAACAATAAACATTGCAATAAGCATGCAAAATAAGATTAAACACTTCAATAAGCTTGCAAAATAACAATAAACACTGGACAAATCATGCAAACTAACAAGAAACACGGAAATATCTGTGCAAAATAACTATTAACATTGCAATAGTCATGTAAACTACCAATAAACACGGTAATATGTGAGCAAAATAACAATAAACACTGCAATAAGCATGCAAACTAACACAACATTGCAATAAGTGTGTAAACTAAGAATAACCACTGCAATAATCATGCAAACAAACAATAAACGCTAAAAAAACGTGCATATTAACATTAAACACGGCAATAAACATACAAACCATCAAACAGCAATAAGCATGTAAACTAATAATAAACACTGCAAAAGTGTGCAAATTAACACTGAACACTGCAATGAGTGTGAAAACTAACAATAAACACTGCAACAATCATGCAAATGAACAATAAACACTGCAATTAGCGTGCAAACTAACATTCAACACTGCAATAAATGTGCAAAACAACATTAAACACAACAATAAGCATGCAAACTAACAATTCACTGCAATAAGTGTGCAAAATAACAATAATAAATGTGCAAAATAACAATAAACATGGCGATACGAGTGCAAACCAACAATAAACAATGCAATAAGTGTGCAAAATAACAATAATAAATGTGCAAAATAACAATAAACATGGCGATACGAGTGCAAACCAACAATAAACAATGCATTAAGTGTGCAAAATAACAATAAACAATGCAACAAGTGTGCAAAATAACAATAATAAATGTTCAAAATAACAATAAACATGGCGATACGAGTGCAAACCAACAATAAACAATGCAATAAGTGTGCAAAATAACAATAAACAATGTAATAAGTGTGCAAAACAACATTAAACATGACCGTTAGCATGCAAAATAACAATTCACAGCAAAAGTGTGCAAAATAACACTAATAAGTGTGCAAAAGCACAATGATGGAATGCCAATGCTGTTTGTTAATTGTAAAGTGGTGATCTTGTGTAGAGTGAACTGGGGCCACATCCGAAATTGCCCCCTATGCCCTTAATAGTGCACTATTTGAGGGAGCAGCCATTTCTCGTGTCCGAAACCATAGTGGACATTCTCAAGTGCACTCAATCAATCCCTCAATGCACTCTCCAACCCATGCACACTTAACAGCTAATACCAATAAAGCTATAGTGCTGAATGAATTTCTGCATTTGACCACAAGATGGCGTCTAAAGCACAATCCTATAGGTGTACAGTTTAGGAATAAATTATTATTTAGATATATATGATAAAAGAAACAAGTATGAGAAATAAAAACAACTAAGAATAAAAAGTATTGCAATTTTCTCACCAGTCGTCTCTGTGGTTTGACCAGCGGCCGGTTGATGCCGTTCATCTTATGGTAGAGTCCACAGGCATTGCACAGGTAATGACCGGTGCCGTCCCGCCGCCACAGAGGAGTCGACATCGCCCCGCAGTTCACACACTCCCGGCCCTCGCCCAGATCATCAAAAAACTCTGATAAAACAAACACACACACATGCAAATA